GAATATCATGTGTACTCAGATGCATAATTGTATATGCTATGATCCTGATCTAGAGATGTTGCATTTCAGATCTGATTGAAAGTGACAATTTTGTCTATAATTACTGTTGTGCATTGTAGGCCATGTGTTTGGAGTAGTTCTTAAAACCTGTGACTGCCTTTCTTTCTGCCACTGTGGTTCTGATCCCGAGCCCTGCAGAAATATTAGGTTTGGCATTAGCGGTCGTCTCTCTCCGCCACTGCTGATTGCCCCAGACTGATTGATTTCTGCTGAGGAAACAGGAGCCTAATAATTACTTTCACATATGAGCACGACACGTGGCTTTAGAAATGTTTGCTTGATTGATTCGTTTCGGGCAACACTGAAGTTAGATCCGCTTATTAGAGGAAGTGACAATACAACTTCAAATGAAAAACGGGCTGGTTTGATAAGGCCCTGCATTTGGAGAATGCAAACAGACAATTTTACAAAATGAAGATTAGGAGCATGTGACACTATTTAAAGCTGATAAACGTTCTCTGTGTCTTTGTGAAGTGGTCATGCTCTGCTAAGTTTTGTGACCCACTTCATTTGATCAGGGCTTTGTGTGTGGCATTGTCTTCGTGCAATGTGTGCTGTCAGATTACAGACTCAGAGCTGACGGGCGCGTGCCTGACTTCCCACTGGCTCCGGTGCACTTAACTTCTGCTAATCAATCAGTCCCAGGAGGGAGTCCATGTGTTCCCATCTTCAGTTTAACGTGACCAATGAATGAATCTCTGTTACCAACGGTAACCCCCAGTCAGACAGATATGGTGTTTCCTGACTGTCAGACGGTAGAGGAAGTGGAGAAACCACTGAGTGCTCTTATCAAGGTATGGTCTGTACTCACTGGCATCACAGAAAGTAGTAGTCATAAAATATTGTCTACACGCACAACACAGACAATAATTAACTTAGCAAATTATACACAATATACATAATAGAATGGTGCATTTCTTTGAAGTATGCTCTAATTGACAAGTTGACGATACACCTTTTGTTATCGATATGAACACTGTTTTTGGAGAATGAAGAGAGTAATTTGTATTGATTTTGAACTGGTGCCCTTCAGTCGCAAAAATCCCTGTTTGTGTTGCTATTTTTGCTGGTTCTTCCGTATTTGCAGACCATTAATCTCCAATGTCGTAAAAGGAAACATGCTGTGGTGGCAACAGGAAATGTGGGCTGTAAAGCTGTGTATGACATGCTGATTAATTTATTTACCATAGGACAGGCCCACAATTTGACAACAAGGTCCCATTGCGTCAAGGAGAACGGTGGGTGGATGCAGCATTAGGATTCCACGATTAATGATATGACCCAAGAAGTAAACAAGCAGGTGAAAAACTATACAATTATATGTGATAAACATACGATTGATCGATTGATTTTGTCATTACCTGTATTTTCTAAAATAAGTGTGTCTGAACTTCTATAGGCTTGTCCCATATGCCCTCTGTCTATGCTAGCTGTGCTTCAGGACACTTAGGGTAAAACATTAGGTTACACTTTATTTTAAGGTGTCTTTGTTAACCTGTAATTATACATTTAAGTAATGAGTAATATTAACTACATGTACTTACTATAGGGTTAGGAATAGGGTTTGGTTTGGTTTAGGGTTAGTTGTATGTAATTATGCACGATTTATAGTTATTACTATAGTAACTGCATGTAACGTGTAACAATGGCACTGTAAAAATAAAGTGTTACCAAACATTATATAAATATACATTAAAATGAAATGAATTATTGATTTGTACAAATGTATAAATGTACAATTTTGCTTTAGGCTATTGTTAAACAGACCTTGGCATTCAGTCAGAACTAATTTAAACTCACAGACATGAAATGTCTTGTGAGTCTTGAAAGTCATGTGACTGCTCTGTTTGCTGCTGCACAACAGGGGCTTCATAAGGAACGGAGTGATGAGAGGATCTTATTTTTCGCGGCCCCTGACCTTGGCTCAGCAGAACACATGACCTCATTAGTGTGTCAGACAGAGAGGGGTGACCCAGCTGCACATGACTCTCGTTCTGACTTCACACTATTTCAACAACATGGCCATCCATGACCCCAGTTAAGCGTGCATAGCACGTTTGAACCTGCTATGTTTTATACAGACTTTCTGGGAACATCTAAATGGTTGCATCCAATATTTATTGTTATTTATAAAGGTTTAAATACTCAATAAGTATTAGATGCAACCATTCAGGCATGTGAGGGGTGTTCATTTATTACTAAAAAATATGAAAAATGCTTATGAAATAATTTCAATAATCAGCATATGTGGGATTTTATTCTTTATATTTTCTGAGCAACAGTACATGACCACGAATTAAGAATTCATTCCAATGTTTTAGTTAAATAGTGGACATTTACTAATTATTTCCCTCGTTTTAGTTATATCACAGCCACGATTGAACTGGATTTAAACAGGGGAATGAAATAGTTCAACATAGCCATTATTGAACTAAATCAAGGGAACAAATTAGTAAATAGTCATGATTTAATTAAGAAGAGGGAAGCAATTAATAAAACATGGCCATGAATTAAGTGGAAACGAATTCTTAATTCTAAATAATAATCTATTTTAGAACTATTTTGAATGCTACAGATCCACAATCTGACTTCTGGCTTGAAATGAATCAACACTGAACTGATTTCAACTAAATAATGACTGTTTGTCTTTTTAGAGCAGAATTGAATTCTATTTGCATCATTGAATCATTATTTTACTGTAAAGCTTTGAAACAATCTGTATTGTATAAAGCCCTATATAAATAAAAGTGACTTGACTCTTATCATGTGCGAAGCTCCGTACAACAGTGGCTTCATTTGGATAAGTTAATCATGCATATTTCTGAAGCTCAAAGAATGTTTTCTGTTGGAATAAATATGGAAAAGGATGTTTAAACCTGCATTTTAGTCTGTGATTTTCTTCATTTCATGATCTTAAAATAGATTGCCCTATGAATATGCACACTACAAACATCGTAATTCTACTATGCTGTGTTTATATTCAGACTAAAGTGTTTATGTCTGATGTAAAAACCCCACCATGCTCCACTTTTAGCTTTTCAGTGAATATTTGAGTCAGTGACATGCTCAAATATAGCTCCTTCTAGTCTAAGAATAGAACGTGCAGTCAGACTATTCATGGCAGTGAGTGGCTGTTACCTCAGTATAGCGAGTATCGTTGTTGAAGGGCTGTGCTATTGCTGCCATGGAAATAAGAGCCTTCTGTTCCTGTTTTTCTTCTATTTTCTCCCTCCGGCTTGACGTCAGCGCAGTCCTGAAGTGCGCAGCTCAGCCCAGCAGCCGCCCAGGGTACGCACCATGCTTTAGTCATGTCTGTCTGCAGAGGAGCCCATCAACGTCGGCTTTGTGCACGGACAAGTGCCTCGGACAAGCATCAAATATATCTGTCAGTTGCCTACTGATCCACCCCACCTAAACAATGGCCCCTGTTGATGACTTCATAAAGTGGGTGATTATTGCTCACTAACTTTCTTCTCATCACCCCTCTTGAATTGTGCCATTGTTTTTTTTTTTTTTTTCTCCAGTAAGGGAACTTTTTTTTTGGCACAAGGGAACTGTAAACACTGCCACATGTATGAACAGAGCTCCCTGTGAAAATACAGACATGCCATTCAACTGTTCTGTACAGCATTATGTGTTCTCAAGTAAAGGTTGATACTCTGCCTTTGCAGATGCTGATGAGTCATGACATTATTCACTTCATATTACTAAAGTTGTAGAGGAATCATGCCCAGATGTCTCAGTTGGTCTTTAAAGGAATATGGTGTGAGTCAGTGCATTAGTCTTGTGGGAAGTCATGGTGTTAAAAATGTGGGGTCTATCACGTGCAGCCTCTTTCAACCAGTCCATTTAGCTGTCTGCAAAGTTAATGGGAAAATCACAGGCTATTTGATCAACGCACCCCTCCTGCATGTTTACTGTGGCCTGCAGGCAGCCTGACCTTTCACAGTCACCAAAGAAAAGGTCAGTGAAGTCCAAGTCATCAAGCTATTTTCCCCTTTTTTTTGCTCTTCTGAAAACAGCACTAGTCTGTGACTAATATATTTTCATATCCAATCTATAAAGACATTGATTGTTCTTTTTGAACAATATATTACATGACTGTGCCACTTTGTCTTTTTGGCTGAAGGGTAATAAAATCAGTGTAAAAGAATAGCTAAGCAGTTTATTGTTATGATTTATCTGACTATAGTTTCTCCTTCGTCCTCTTGAGCAGGAAGATATTAAAAAGCACGTGTAGAATGTCCATCTGCAGTGCTGTGTTCTCATGTACATTTTGCACCTCTTGCAAACAAAGCCCTGTGTTTGAGAAACCGATAAGGAGCCTCTTACTTTTGTACACATAGTGCTGCATGATTTATGATGCAGGTAGGGGGAAAAACAGGTGTCAATATGTGAACAGCAATCTTCTTGGGAATGATGTTTCTTTACTATTAATCATAACTGTCTGTTGTCCCACAGAACAATTTATGTCCCTCTCTTCCTTATTGTGTGCTTAAAATAACATCTGAAATGATAATATTGGTTATTCCAACAAGGAAGCAAGAGTATTTTTAACTAATGTGTCTTTTTATGACCAGCTCTGAACTGAACTCATGTCAGTCCATGTGAGAGTTTTTGCTCTAGTGTCCAAAAAGATGCACTTCCTGATTTTAAATCTGGCATAAAAAACACAACAGGAACTGTTAATTTTTTTTGAACCATTAGGCATAAAATTTATTTAATAAGAAAAAGTACACATTTGTAAATTTATAAATAACCAAATATATTATTTGTTTTGAATTACATCAGTGTTGTGCATAAATAAAAAATTACGGTAAGACAAATTCAGTCCGTAAATAGCAGTCTCTTATTGAAAGCAGAAGTTCTTTTCCTCTGTAGACCTGTCACAATATTGTCAGGTCTGAGTCACGTGTTATTCATTCATTCCCCACGTGGAGTGCAAAGTGCGGCCATACGCCGCCGTCTGGAAATATCCCGTAGCATCCTTGCTGCATCCCTTTAGAGGTACGACACAGTCCACAACCACCCTTGGTGCTCCTTTGGTCCTTCCAAAGGGCGATAACACCGACCATGCATTATGAGGAACATGGACGAATGTCTCAAGTATCCTCTGACACTTCGAATTCCACAAACATGGAAGTGGAAGCTCTGGAATGGACTATTAGACAGTCCCCTTTAATTGATGAGTGTGTCCTCATGACAGTAGAAGGACGACATCAATATTCCTTTTCTCTTCAGCACATTTCAGTGCAGAATAGCTCAACGCTCTTGCAGGGCAATGGAGGGCACCCACTGGTTCCTGCAACGGCTTTCCTTGCAGTAACTCCCCACCTCGTTCAGCTTCAGATGCTCAGCTTGTGGGTTCTAAAAGAAGGAAAGAAATATGATTAGAATTGCAAATCTTTCACTATAGTTTGTTTTGTACCTCCCTGATTTGTGTTAAGGGTGCAAATTGCTTCCAGAACACGTTTTTTAGCCAAGCTCGTTATCAGACGCACTTACTGTTAAAACTTTCATTCATTCAAGAGATTTACATACCACAAACATATCACAAAAACGCTAATGTTTTGTTAAAAAAGTTAAAGATAGTTAACGACAACAAAAGCGATGTGAACAAATTGCACCCCCCCCCCCCCATTGTTATTTTATCATTCGCACGCTGTTTCTGTTAATATGCATTTGTAATATGCGTAAAAAGACTTACAGTTACAAGTATGCAGTGGAGGTCTCTTGGCTCATTGGCGTTGCTGTCAGTGGAGAGAGGCTCCTCGAGAACCTGTGCTAAACGCCTCATGCCGGACACACGCACAATGTTGATATCGATGTCACAGCAGAAAGCTTGGATGAGCGTGAAGTGGATCTGAAGCGCAACATCACTTTCGTCCTCCTCATCGGTCGCCAAAACGCACAGGACCACGCAGTCTGGGTCACTGTAAAAGTTAACAAATGCATAATTTAATATGCTATTCGTTATTTCCAATTTGCTCTAATGCATGCTACTGATTTTTCTAATTGCATGTTACTAATTGAGTAAAATACTTACACATTCATGAGTTGTGCAGACTCGTAGACTCCAACTGTCAGACAGTTTTGTCGTTGCGCAGCCACTAGCAGCTCCTCGAGAGCTTCACGTACTGTTTCCATTCTTTAAAAGAAAAGGAAAAACAATTGTCAGTTTTAATTTATGAAACAGTTAAAATGAGAAGAAGAAAATATATATATTTAGAACCTCCTTAGTTATACGTAACAAGTAACTTACTTTCTGTCAGTGCTGCTGCATCCAACAACTTCCTCCAGAGTCATGTTTGTCCTTAAATTATATTATAATCCAGAAATCGAAATTCCTCCAAATAATATTATTCCAAAGAATATGTCGATCTTTGAAGGCGAAAGTAATCCACAGAGATTTCGAGTGGTTTCTCTCTCGCTCTGCTTCGATACTGTCTCGGCTCGTGTTTGACTCGAGCTGTGGGAGCCGAGGTTTTTATAGTAGGAGTAGAGTAATAGGCGTGGTTGAAACTGCAGTCGAAACCTCATGCTAGTTGCCCACGAAGGTTTCTATGGAGTCTCCTATTGTGTGAAGTATTGTGACATCTACAGTTGTCTTTGTGTAGGGAACGATCAAGGAGCTATTTTCCATAATGGAATCCTGCAGACTAATCTGTTAAAAATGAAAACTCATTACTGATAGATTGTTGCTGATAGATGGATTTAAAGCGGCACCCCAATGCTATAGCATGAAGTACCCTCTGAGATTTCAACCTATTGTTAAACTTCCAAAAGAAAAAAAGCTACATTGTATAATATTTGATATAGGCTAATATAGATATAGACCTATTTTATCTGTGCATTTTTTTCACTTTTTGTGTGTTTACATTTAGTTATTTATTATTTTATTTTATATGTTGTTTATTTTGCAGTTGGCATTTCTATTGCATTCTCACAGACTTGTCTATTTTGCAATGGCATTGCAAAATGTTGTGCAAAAATTATTAAAATAATAATAGCCTACATATGCTATCTTCAAAAATGCTACATTATAATTTCAACTAGCCTAATGCACGTGCACTTTTACATCAAAACGGTGTCATTCAGACTGTAAAATAGATTGAAAAAATGGCTCATTAAAATAATGTAATAAAATATAATTATGAAACACTAGGCCTACGCATTATTTAACTTTGATATCAATCTATATGTTTTTCAGCTATTGTCTCAAATAATAATGTACAAAATAATAATAATCATCATCATCATAATAATGTATTGCTTGATGCAAAAGTCACCCAATTCGCATTTTGAACAGCCATTATTCAACAGACATGAGCACCTGTGTGTCTCGATTGTCCAGCGCTCCATCTGGTGGCGAGAACTGGAGGAGGCCTGAGCACTGGGACTGGGGGACATGTGCGGGCACGTACCTCAGAAGGTAATCCTTCTCTGATTACATCAGAATTAATAACTAGATCTGAGAATTACACGAACCTCCGCTATTTCGTTAGTTTCGCTGCTTACGGTCAGATATCATTAACTTAAATCGTTTAGCTTTATTGTTATGTCAGGTGGTGATAATGTGTTATAACAAAATAAAGATGTCTGGAACTTGTGAAGCGAAACACGCTCGGTCGTTTACTTGATTGTCAGAGGTTCGCCATTTTGCATGATAATCAGTTCAACCAGGCCTGTCGTGATTAGATTAGGCTACATCAGTTCGATTATAGTGTGACAAAGTTTGTTGCACCATAAATCATCTGTTGAAAACGTGTTTATCATCTTAATCCTTTTCAGGTGGCATCAATACCATACGGCCTTGCATATAGCTCTTCAGATTAAATGATAAACGCATAAAAGTTTTATAGGTCTAGCATATTGTACAAGTGTATAGCACATGTCGATTGCAATCTTAGTTCATATATATAGCCTTGTACATAATTTAACTTTTACATTTTGATGTCCATAACAATATAGGCTATGCATGCACTTCATATTTAACTATTTAACTAGCGGCTACTTCGGCTATTTATTAGCTTTACTTTAAAAAACCTTTTCCCGTTCATGTTTGGCTCATCTTATAATATCAGTTATGCACATTTTTCTTTTCTTTAACACAGTCTAAATCTGTAGCCTATGTAAAGCTTTGAAATGCTTTTCGATAGATAGATTGATTGATTTTATGTATTCATTTCTGTGATTTCATTTGAGATTTTATTTAAAATTATAATGAAACAATATGTTTTGAAATGCTTTACTTCGATTTTTTTTACTTTGGATTTTAGCCCAAAAGGGCTACACAATTATTTAGTAGTTATTCGGAGGTCGACCCCTGGGGGTGTGTGAAGGTATTGCAGGGTTCAGAGAACAGATAGGCTTATACTAAATATAGTAAACAACTCAGAAATTCAGTAACTCTTCAAATAACCTTTTATAACACACATGCTTAACAGATCAGCATATAAATGTAAAAAGAGAAACAGTGAATCAAAGTTTCCTATAGTTTCCACATTGAATGGCCAGCAGCTATATCAGCATGCCCAAGACTGGTTGCCCACTAAGCTAAGCAGGGTTGAGCATGGTCAGTAACTGGATGGGAGACCTCCTGGGAAAACCTTGCTGCTGGAAGAGGTCTTAGAGGGGCCAGCAGGGGGTGTTGCTTACCCTGTGGTCTGTGTGGGTCCCAATGCCCCAATATAGTGATGGGGACTCTATCAAAAAGCACCATCCTTGCTTCGGATGAGATGTCTAATTTATGACCACAGAGAGTCAGACGAGGTCCTGTGGTTATAAAAAAATCCCAGGATGACCTGGTAGAAAAGAGTAGGGGTCCACGGCATCCTGATCAAATTTGCCCATTGGCCTCCTAATCATCCCCATGTACTGATTGGCTTCATCACTCTGTCTCCTCTTCACCAATAAACTGGTGTGTGGTGGGCGTTCTGGCACAATATGGCTGCTGTTGTATCATCCAGGACAGGTGGATGCTGCACATTGGTGGTGGTTGAGGAGATTTCCCCTTCCATATAAAGCACTTTGAGTAGGCTACCCAGAAAGCGCTATATATTATGTAACATATACTTACTTTCAAGTTCTGTTTTAAAAATGATTTAAAGTTCTGTCTTTCATTATAGGACATTGGAAAAATAAATGAAGAGAACCAACCATCTTGAAAAATCTCATATTTAGATAAAACATTTTTTTTTTTTTTTTTACAGACAGAGGAACAGCAAGAGGTTCTTGTGAAGTTAAAGAATAATAAACAACTGGAAACTGGAAAAAAAAGTTTAGTCTACTTCCTTCGGTAATGTAGTAGCACTCTTTCACACTGTATGCTTAACTATTCGTGTAGAAATGATTGTGATTGAGACAAAGTTAATTCACTTATATTGAATGCATTTTAAAATTCTAGCTTAAGTTTAATTGTCTTACATTTAAAGTAAACTCAAATGGTGCAAAGGACAACCTGTCCTGCAGTGATAAGTGATGATACTTTTTCGACCACTTTGATTTTAATTACTGAAGGATAGCGATTTGACAACAAAATGACAGGCCATTACAAGTTAGCTGAAAAGATTTTACAGCGATACTCAGACGTAGTCTCATGATATCATGCACTGCAATGTGCGTGTTGTTCGTGCATGTATTGTTATTGACCATCATTCCATCACTCGCATGTCGTCTTCTTTTTTTTTATCTGAAGTGTGATACATGTAGGCCTACGTAAAAGTGCAAGTTGGATGCCTTAAGTGGCTGCATGTCCACAAGGATGCCTCTTTTTTATTTTAAAATGCCTAAAGATAGAAATTATGTTTGTTTTTTTATTATTACTGCTGTGTAAAGTGACTTGCAAATTCAAAATAAAGAGTTTACTGAATAGTTGAGTTGTTTTTCGTTCATCATCATCTATTTAACTGAATGAATGCATTTTACTAAACCTATTTGATTCCTGTTAAATGCAAAAATAATACATGTTGAAGATTGCTGCAATAGCCTAGTGATGCTTGCAACAAGGCGGTCTGAATCCTGACTTCGATTGGTCAGCTTCAGTTTCATTCAAATTATCCGCCTGTTCCTTCAATAACGCCTGAATCGAATGCTTGTGTATTACATCATAAGAATAACTTTCCAACATGGCGTCGGGTGTAACGGCAGCGATGGAATCAGAGGACCTGACAGCCCATCCTGGATTCAGCAATGACAAATACTCGATGTTGATTGTAATCGGTGCGCTCTATAGACCGCACATACTGGACTATATTGTGGTGGAGATTGAACGAGGTATTCATTTTTAAATGTTGGATTTCTAGGAATAATAATAACAGTGTTAATCCAAGATGTTATAATATTTATTTGATATTATTATCTCTGATATCTGTGTGTAGCTAGAACTGGTTGCGATCTGGATATTCCATTCTTTGATTTTGTTATTCAGCGGTTCTTTGGTGAATAGAGATTGATGGAATACGATCAACACAGTGCGACTCATTGCGCCTGGCACTTTCTCTCGTTCAGCAATACATTTTTACGCATATTTCAACAAGCTCTCGTATAGGCTACCGTATGGACTAGCTTTTAAAGCAATAATACCATGTTTATTCTGGTACAAGATTCATGCAGCTGTTCCCTGCATTGCAGTGTTATGACATCAGTAAACATCAAAAATAGCCACCTTGTGCATCACCCTTTACAGTATACTGAAGTATCACTGGTTAATTAATATGTGACAGTCGTAGAAACGAATTCCTATTTTAAGTAATGATGTGTTCTTCACACATCAACAGTTTAGGCTGCATGCTCACACCCACCCCAGCGGTCGTTTTTTGCTTAACAGTTACATGTAAATTCATTTTAGTGTCCATCACCCTGATGAGAAATCCAACTTAATCTAGTTGTGTTTTTGGAACAGCTGGTCTAAAATAGCTTATCACCTTAGACCAGCTAGAAACCAGCTATGCTACCAGTGTAAGCTGGATTTTTCCGCAAGTCATAACATTTCAACAACAGAAACAGGGGTACCATTATAGTCATATGGCTTTAACAAAATGTCAGATGTTGACACCACGGATGTCTGAGTGATCAAAAACTGAGAAGAGCTTGTCTGCATGGTGAGCAGGCAAAAATGAAAATCTGTTTACAAAGAAATAAGAATAAGAGCTTTTTTTTCTTCTCATATTTGCTTTCATTTAAGTTGTACTTCACACAGAAGTAATAGCTTCTATGTCAGCTTTTAAATCTTTCTTACAATATTACAGTATGGCTTTAGTTTATTGTCAGTCCACCCTTTTTCCTATCTGGAAATGTACCTGACTTTACTGCTGGTTAGGCCGACATTGTTAAATGTTTGTTTATTTATTTCAGTGCAAGAAGTGATGAGTCGGCTTTTTTATGGTCATAATTAGATGAGAACATGCAGCTCAGAGGCGTTTATATTTCATGAGTATTGGAGACCAATGCCGCAAAACAAAGCTTTTTTGATG